AGAGGGAAGGCAGCTAGTCATCACCACCCACCGCCAACTCTTGGGCTACTCTTTTACCAACGAATAGTGGGATTGACCGTCACATTATAACGCCCCCACGGCTGAAAGGTCGAGCATGTTTGGTGTGACGGAGATTCAAACCCGTGCGAGTCGAGTGCCCTAACCACCTGGCCATGCCGGACCCTATATAACAAAAATAAAATGAAAATAAATAGAGATTTAGGCCCAGGAGCCACGGATGTTAATTTTTGGAAATCATTGTTGTAAATGGCACTATTCTAAAAATGTTTGTTTGTAATTAAGCACAAAGCTACACAATGGGCTATCTGTGCTCTGCCCACCATGGGTATCGAAACCCGGATTCTAGCGTTGTAAGTCCGCAGACATACCGCTGTGCCACATGGAGGGCGCTACTGTAAAAACGTGCTAATTAAAAGTTTCATGTGTAATTCATGGTTTATTCTCCTGAAGATGGTGGAATTATTTCCACCGGAACATGTAGAATTTTTAACGTTTTTTTTAACTTATATTTTATAAACTTTACAAATAAATTCTTGTGGAAGTAAACAATGTTTATGTCTCGTTTGATTAATTTTATTTATTTAATTTTTTTTTTGTTGCAGAACAACTGTCTGTTTTACGTATTAAGTATAACATCTTAACCTAAAACCGATTAGAATAAGTCGCCAGTTATAATCCAATAAGTTCTAGTGCACGCATGCGCAAGATACCAAATGTATCTTGGCACGTGAAGATAATATGTCGTTCATAATTCTGTTTCATTAACATCAACTAACTTCCTACAACTGACTATTGACACTTTCGATAGGGAACACCCACTTTGACTTCTAATTAGTAAACTTTAAAACAAAAGTATTTTATCTCACACGCGAGGCTTAGCAGTAGAGGATAACACAGGCGTTATGTTTAGGTTTAACTCACACGCGAGGCTTAGCAATGAAGGATAACACAAGCGTAATGTTTAGTTTAATCTATTTAGTGAGATCTTCACAAAGTGCATGTCACCATTAATAAAGCAACGTTGGTGGGACACGACCGCACCCACGGAGATGAGTTTTAATCTGAATTATTGGACTAAACTTTGAACAATACTTGCTTAGTTTAAAAATCGAACGTGATAAATATCTCGCGTTAGTTGTTTAAGTTATTTAGCCGTCGTTGGCGTTCATGCTTGAGAATGGACTCTTAATATTTCGTCGGCGCTGTAAAAACGAACAAATTAAGATTTTGTTCGCGCTAGTCATAATGAGGGATTACCTTTTCTATTACCACTGTAACGAGCTAGGCGTGGCCATTATAACGTTTCTTATAATCCTCTAATGTGGGGTGGTTTCCAAAAACCCTTAGAACCCGGATTAACGAAGATATGCAAATGTTTTACATTCATCAAGTTTAAACAGATTCTTAACTCTTTTAAGTTATGCAAATTATATCAGCAGACGAGTGTGTTCAAACGTTTTATACTGGACACAAACTAGCTTCCAAGCATTTTAGTATATTCACGTAACGTCCACTATTTTATTGTATTCACAAATGATGTAGCTTCTAAATGTTTTATTGTATTCACATAATGATGTAGCTTCTAAATGTTTTATTGTATTCTGAAACATCTAGAAGCTACATCATTGTGTGAATACAATAAAACATCTAGAAGCTACATCATTATGTGAATACAATAAAACATCTAGAAGCTACATCATTATGTATTGTGTGAATACAAGGATGTAGCTTCTAGATGTT